CCTGGTAACATAGCAAGACAAAAGAGCGAGGGAAGAAGAAAGAAAGGAGAAAGAAGAGATGTATGCGGGCAAGGTCACTTACTCATGATGCTGACTCTCCATCAGGGCCATACCAACCTGTGGTACTCCTCCCTCACCACAATGTTTAAAGCAGAAAGAAAAGATGAACAGGGATAGCCAAAAGGTTGGCCTCAGGTGCAGAGAGACTTCAGACCCTAAAGCACGTGTTTGATTTGTATTACTAACTTGTCCACTTCTTAGTTAAATATTTCGTTAGAATCACATTCAGACTCAGAATTCTATCTGTGTTCTCCCCTTGTTTTCAGAAAAAAAAAAGTAATTTTCCTTTCATCATTCCAGAATGAGAGGCATGAAGAGACTAAACAGACACAGTGCTCCTAAACACACACTGACTGGAGGGTGAGTGATAGGAAAAACTATTGAAAAGTATAAAAAAAAGAACAAAACCAAAACCAGCCAAGACGACATACCTACTGGCTTCCCCAAAACAGGCAACAAGCAATTACACCAAAAGGCTACAAATATAAACTTGGTAATTGCTCCTGACAGAAGTCTGGTCTCTTCCAGTCATGGCCACAAGCAAGTCTGCAGTCTTGAACTAAGGTTTAATCTTCTGCAGCAGTTGGTATGTACTCTTCTTAGGTTAAGTTTAACCTTTAAAGAACGGATGTGCAAATCCAGTCCACACATTTGTTTGGCTGGCAATCTGGAAAAAACCTCTGCTCTGCATGCTGAGAGCATAATTGCAAGCTAATCACATTTACATCATTACACCAAATCAAGAGAATGTACAGACAAAATGGGAAGCAGGAGACCAAGAGGACAGGACTGTCCCCACTGCAACATCATGAGGCTTCTGAAAGCCTCCTGGCAGCTCCTATTCACAGAAACTTTGAGTAAGCACAGTGAAAGTTGCAGGAGCAAGAATTGCCTTATCCACTTCAGCTGGGCATGCTGCTGCTCCTGTGCGTGGGTACATGCATTGGGGGAGGAGGGAAACAGCAGGAGCCAGACAAAGAGAGGCTGCTGTTACCTACACAGGTCTGTACTTCGGAAGACCTGAGAGTTATCTCTGGGGCAGGGCAGTCAGCTGAATACTTCTGCAGGGTGAACGTGGACACATGGCTCCCCATGCTACGTACACCTTTCTACCTCACCCTCCTGGGCTGGTAACTGGTCTCAGCACAGACACCAACTCTCTCATCTCTCAGATGGGTTAACAGTTGAAAGAGAAAAAATGAAAAACACCTTTTCTTCCATGCCTCCCCAACTGCAAAGCTTCTGGTTGCTTCTATAATAGGCAAATGGGCATATATGCTGGCACAAACACTTCAGTAAAGCTGACAGGCAACAAGCTCTCTACCAGCCTCCTTAGCTGGGTCCTTTCCCAGAGCTCTGGCAGTATGACAAGAAAGCAGCCAAGCCCAAAACGGCTGGAGTGGCATGCTGAACTGCAAGGAGGGCACAGAATAAACTGCACAAATGCCAGAGGCAGTGTGGAGCTGGAGGTTTAGGGAAAAATCCTAAAAGCTGATCAGCAAACTCTGCAACGTGTTGGTGGGATCAGTTCAGTCCATACTTCTCTTTGCACATACCATGTTTCTCCACCTCTTCTCCCTTTTGAATAAAGGCAGAGTGAGAAAAAGCAAGACGGCTTTGCCACAGCCCCCACGTACACGGGAAAGGCTCACAGAAGAGGGAGTGAAGGGGAGGCTGCCTGGGGACGTTGGGGGAGAATTTGGGAGCAGCAAGAGGCCAGCTCTGTCTTCCAGCAGCAGAAGTGGTAAGAGCCCTGGAAACAGGAGAAAAAAGAGTGGGGAAAGGCAGGGATATGTGACAGAAGTGCAGCAGAAAGCAGGTTTGTATTAGCTTGAGGCTGACAGGGATCACGTGTGGAAAGGTTTGCACCTCAAATAATAGTGGAGGCTGCAAATGTGCACGTACAGACGTGGACGACTGAGAGGTATAGCAAAGTTTTATTTTGCTGGACATTTAGACTGTGTGTTGAGGCAAGAACTAGGCAAAGCTGAACACTTTTCCTTAGGCTCAGAGGCAGCTACATGAGCCACACTGGAGGTTTAAAACCCAGCTGCTTTCAAGTAAAAAACCATTGCACTACCAAAAAAAAAAAAAAAGTAAAAGAAAAAAGTAAAAAGCCTGTTTATCTAAGCGCTGTCTTTTCCCAGAAGCCTGCTAAGCAACATGAAAAGGTACACAACCACTTCACAGTCTTAGCTTGCTGTCAGGGCAAAGCGACCAACTCATAGATCAGCGCGAGAGAAGACCTGTGCACCAGCAACGCCTTCTCGGTTCGACTATCCCAAGAGCAGTGCAGGGCACAGCCTGGCAGTGCCGGCG